AACTGATGAGTATATGCTGGGTTTTTATTAGGAAGATACTGCTGCCCATTTTCTTGTTAAGTTTCCCTCAGTCTGCCACCTCTTACGACACACGTGGCACAATATGGGGAAATGGGCTTTCTTTCGACACCACTGCACGGCCTTCTTCTCTATATAAAGAAGAAACCTATAAGCTCATTGTAAAATATTGAAAACAAAATGTGACTTCTAAATAATTAGTTTGTTCTCTAACATTGTATCAAAATGCGGTTTAATTTATCACTACTGCGAAACAGTATTGTTTAAAAAAATGCGTTCTTAGAATTCACGGTTTGATAAACAAGTTAAGAGTTAATCTTTACAAGATGTCATTGTAACTAAAATATTACTAACCGAGTTCCAGTAACCAAATACGAGAGGTTCTATTTTCGACGCGTATATTTCTTTGTGAATGTTCACCGCATAAAAGGTTCACTGATTTGCAAAAAACGGCTGCACGCATTTTGCATCTTTTGATGTGTACCATAATATTGAACAGTTTAGTTTCTACTCTAAAGTTCCCTAAAATTTTATACGTAGTAGAGCCATACTGCAGTTATATTAGTAGTGAACCACTCGTAATACAAGCAATTTAAGCTTACCGCGAGTGGTTAAGAGGAATATTAGTAATTTTTATAGCATTGTTAATATTCTTTAAAAAAATATTAGTAGTATAGTTGTAGCACGAATGGGTCGGCTCGACCGGAGAAGGACCACGCTCTCACAGAATACCAGTGTAAAATAGTAGCTTAATGCTGCTGTGTTTCGTATGGTGAGTGTAGAGAACTGGAGACCCTTTTTACTGGAATCGAGGCATTCCATGTTAGTCCTCAGCGGTGACAGCGCATCTGCATTTTGATTCGTAATCGAGGATAGATGTAGATGTCTAATGGCCACGGGTTCCACTTACTATCAGGTGGACTGTATGCTCGTTTATTCTAAAAAAAAACTACCAAGAGTGAATTCTAAGCAGAGAAGGTAACTTACCATCGATTAAATTGATCAAGTTCTATTAAAATTATTTTTCAGCATGGTCGATACCATTATGGCCAATTATGCGGCACATCTACTTGAAAAAAGTAGAGTAACTTTAGACAGTCATTCATTTCATGGCCAAAAATATACCTTGTTGCGTTGTTATCAGGAAGATGCTGTCGCCCGTCTACTGGTTTGGTTTTCCTCTGTCGCTTTTTACGGCACTCACGTGATGATATAGGGTGGTGGATTCCCGTATGCCACCACTCCACAGAAAAATTAAGACTACTTCCCTAATTTTTCTGTTGAGTACTCCGCTAGAGAACCAACTGCTTGTTCTCTAAAATTAAAGATACAGCCTATATACTGCTGTTCACAGGCCGTCTCTCTTTTCTAAGAGGGTTTTAGGGCAAGAAAATGTCCGCCGCGTTGCCCCAATACGTGTTGGTGAACATGTCTTCGAAATATTTTCTTTTGCGTATTTCTCAGACATACGGGTTACCTCATGATGCTTTCCTCCACTGCCGAGCACGTGGTAAATCAGCACTTAAAATTGCAATTAACAATTTCATTGATCGAATCCTGGTTGCTCACGTACTGTGAAATTTACAGCTAGCGTTTAGCCCCTAAAATACTTCGGCTCACGATCACGGACTATATAGGATAGTGGATACCCTTACTCTATCTTTACACGACTAACATTACATAGTATCACCACAGTATAATAAAGACATACAGTAGGACGACTCCTTTAATTTCGTAGTATTATGCCGACAACGTCTAAACAGCGCATGGAGGCTAGGGTTGTCACAAATTAACAACTTTTACTAATTTAATTATTTATTTTTCTTTTTTTTTTCTTTTTTTTTTAATAAAATATAAGTAATCTTATTAATTAACATTACTAATATTCCTTTTAACCACTCCTGGTAAGCTTGAAAATGCTTGTGTTAGGAGTGGTTCACGACAGTAGTCAAATGGCGGATTCGAACCCACGACCTTTTGAGTTCGCGATCCGCGCCCTGCCATTAGGCTACTGTCGCTTCAAAAAAAATTTATTTTAGATCTACATCGTCATCCACAGTATGATTACTAATATAAAGAATACTTAAGTAACAATTTGTTCTTACATTTTCCTGAAAGTACTTAAAACGCTAATCGCACGCCTCGGGAGTGCTCTACTCTCGATATGTCATACTCCACAGAAATCTAAATATAAATGTCTTATTATTTAGATATCTGTGTCATACTCGTTCCTCAATTTTGCTACATAAAATCACGTCACTTATAGTCTTAGCTAGACATCAAATTTATTATTATTATTATTATTATTAGCGTTACAATGACATTGAAGTATAAGACTAGTTTATTTTCTAATTGACTCACTTTAGATTCCATTACAAAAAATGTAATTAAAAAAGACGTTAGCCTGTTCAACCACACGATTTGGATGAAGAAGAAAAAAATCAAAATTCGAAACACATGCCTAGCGACTAGTACCTTTTTTTACGTCCGCCATTTTAAAATGCGTTGTCACCCCTGAGGACTAAGATGCTCCTATCTCAGCCATTAGGCCGAGCAGTGCCTCGATTCCAGTAAAACGGGTCTCGGGTTCTCTACACTCACCATACGAAACACAGCTGCATTAAACTGCTTTTACGCTGGTATTATGTGAGAGCGTGGTCCTTCCCCGGTCGTGCCGGCCCATTCGTGCTACGACCATAATATAGCTGCAGCGTGGCTCTACCTAGGAATGCCAAATCGGAAGACTAAAATATTTAGACAAAATTTGAAAATGCCGGGATTTGGGGATTGTTGTCGGGAGAAATAATCATTAAAAAAAAACTTAAATAAAAAGTTTATTTTTTAAATTAATAGCGTACAAAAAGATTTAACATTGTTGACACATAACTAATTTAAGTACACTCAGTTTTTGGGTTGCTATATGTATTTGGCATTGGACTTCACTGAGTCCACCAATTTGGATCCTTCAGTAGTATTCAGAAATGATATAAAATTCAAACAACTTACTTCAAAGTTCAGTCTATTTAATAACTCAGCTTTATTAAATCAAAGGCAGCTGTGATGTGAAGAGAAGCTGTTTGTCTGAAGATTTTGAGTTTTGTCGGGAATATGGAGGTCATTTAAAATGTCGGGAGAATCCAGACGAATCCCGACCATCTGGCAACCCTAGCTCTACCACGTATGAATACATTGTGTAAATTTTGTCATGACATAACAAAATATACACAATGTATGAATTTATAGACTGTGGTATCCTGAACAACCAACCCCTTATTCTCTATTTAAAGAAAAAAATTATTATATTGTTCTTTAACATTGTAACTAAATGGTATATTATCAGTACTGCGAAACAGTAATGTTTAAAAGTGCGTTTTGAGAAGTCATTCATGGTTTGATAAACAAGGTTAATCTTTACAACATGTTGTAACAGAATTATTGTTAGCCGAGTTCTAAAACCGAGAGGTTCTTTATTCGACGCATATGTTTTTTTTATTAATGTTCCCGAATTTCTCGCTGAAAGTTGAATCAATTTTGATAATTCTTCTTTCTTTCACACAAACACCCATGGCAATTTTAGTGTTTAAGTAGATTTTATGGTTTTTACAAAGAAAAGTTTTGTAAAAAAACTAGCGATATGAACGTAGAATTTACTGCTTTCCCACCGACGTAAAATATTAATTAACCTTAGGCTCAATTTACATTGCGGCGGAATGGAATCGAACGGATATGTCAATATCGCCGCGACGCGCGTGAATTCGCCTGCAGACCATATGACAGTTCACTTGGGGCTGTAGAAAATTTAGTCTAAATTCCACGCTCTTCGCGCCACTTTCCGTGAATTCCACAGACTTCGCCGACAGTAGTTACGAGGAAATTCCCCTGAAACCGCGCGACTTCTTTTTTGGCTCATATCTAGTTCACGCCTTAAATAGCGTTAAGCTGCTATTTCGTTAGTATTCAGGGAGTGTGGTGCTTTCTCAGTCGAGCCAATCCGAACCACTATTTATGCTACAATCATAACTGCAGTATGGCTTTACAACTTATAGACATACGATTTAACGGTCCGTTTTTGATAAAATAAGGATGACAAACGATAAACGAGCACACAGTCTACCTGATGGTAAGTGGATCCTAGACATCTTATCATACATATCCTCGATTAAGAATCAAAATGCAGATGCGTTGTCACCCTGGACAGGCCGGACTAAGATGGAATGCCTCGTTTTCAATAAAAAAATGGTCTCTGGATTTCTACAATCACCATACGAAACAGCAATATTAAGCTGCATTTTACGCTGGTATTCTGTGAGAGCGAGCTTTCCCGGTCGAGCCGACTCATTCGTGCTACAACCATAGTAAGCAGCGTGACTCTACCACGAGTAGATGGTAAATGGCTGTCACAGCTCATGAGCGTTTTCACAATCTGAACATTAAAATGTAATACCTCACAACCTGTGGTTACACGGGCTGTCTATACACTACAGACCGGGACACAGCAGTGTGAGCACTGCAATTTGACGGCAGAAAGTTGGTATTATGGAGTTTAGGAGCAAAGAGTACAGACTGCGTATAGAAAACCGTTAAATAAGAGTGGCGCCACTATGACTACGGGGTAAACTTTAAAGAACACACCGAAAAATATTAGTGGGATAGACGACTTTTTCGAGGTTATATTTACTAAATAAAATTATTTTACATTTTAGAGCTACTGAGCAGTTTAGCAGCACACTTTAACCGTCGACAACTGCTAAGTTCATTTCATCCCAGTAGCTACTCCAGCGCTGTTGTGGAGAGTTTTTGAGCTATTATTTACTGCTTACAGATGGCCACTTTTTCAACTATTCTACTATGGGAGTTGGTACTCCTTACTTCTACACTCCGTAGTTGGTATCTACCAAGTACGATTACCAAGCAGAAAAGGTATAGGTATCACAGAACACCATCAACTAAATTGATCAAGTTTTATTAAAATTATTTTTCAGCATGGCCTGTTCACGTGCATCCACAAGTACTACACGGTGGAAGAGTGGAAGAGTTTTGCTGCTGAACATCCCGAGTGCTTGGAGCATATGGGTATGTTTCATTTTGGACTTCGTGTATTTCACTTCATTAAAAAAAATATTACCATTTTCGGCAATAAATGTTTCTTTTTTTCTTTCACCTAAAACACTAACAAGGATATGTATAAAAATATTACGCGTACGGCATAAGAAGAGCCGTAGTAGCTCAGATGGTTAGCGCTCGCTGTTAATTCTCACAGTACGCGAGCAACCCGCGTTCGAGCCCAGCCGGCACGAATAAAAATGTTAATTGCAATTTTAAGTACTGATTTGCCACGAGTTCGGCGGGGAAGGAAAACAAAATGAGGAAACCTGCATGTCTGAGAAATAAGAAAAAAAATTTCGAAGACGTAAAGGTCATCAACACGCATTAGGGCAGCGCAGCGTACACTTCCTGGGCCTAAAATCCTCTCAGAAATGAGAGGGGGGCTGAGCCCAGCCGTGGGACGTATATAGACTGTAACTATTACTTTAACTTTGACAACGAGTACGAGTTGAATACGATTACTATTGGACTTACTAACGACTTCAATCACTCCGTTGACCACCTAATTTCGTATTGTTTATTTTATAGAAAATTTTAATTATCATCATTACTACTTTACAAGTCATGGAATAATATATATATATATATATATATGATATATATATATATATATATATATATATATATATATATATATATATATATATATGTATATCGCAATATATGTCTCCCACGATCCAGAAACACTTGCATCAAAATACTTTTTGCATGTCAATCAGATCAACACTCCATTTTATGGGGGGCCGCTCCACACTTAACTGGCCGGTACAAGATTACCCCTGAAGAACCTTTCGTCACCATTTTACGTTGTGTGAGCTATATAGCCGGCCCATCGCCACTCCAGCTCACAAATCTGTTGAGCTTTGTCGGTTACTCTGACTCTACTGCGGATATAATATCAAAGGCAATTTAAATTAACAAAAATATATTTGTTATTTTATTGTTATAGTTTTTACGTGGTAGAGCCATGCCGCAACTATATTATGGTTATAGCACTAATGGGTCAACTCATAAAAAAAACTCGTAAAATAGTAGCTCAATGCTGTTGTGTTTCCTATGGTGAGTGTAGAGTACCGGAGACCCATTTTACTGGAAACAAGCCATTCCATCTTTGTCGTCACGGGTGACAACGCATCTGCATTTTGATACTTAATCGGGGTAAATGCAGATGTCTGTGGGTCACAATGATATCACCCAGTCTACCATCGGGTGGTATGCTTGTTTGTCAACTTTATAGGTACTATAAAAAATTGTTTGGTTTTTTCACATTCTACACAACGCACTCGAAGCGAAATGTCAGTTTAATAGTTCTATCCTGAAACAGGAGACGGGCTGAATTATCAAAAATTCGGCTGCAAACCCGCCTTCCAACTGTGGTAACCTATGGCAAGTGTCAATCATATAGGGAGATCTGTGGGGAAGCCCTCTGTCGATATTAGTGGACTTTCAATCGCGTAGCAAGCGAACATTATTTGATAGATTTGACGGTTATTTTTTGTTCTGCCTCTGATAGTATTATTCTTACCGCTTATATCGGATCCACATCTGGGCAGATGCCTTCTCTTGTTTCTAAGAGTGTTATAGAGCATTTGATCTGTCTCGATTAATGTATTGAATCTACCAAAGAAGCGAAGATAATAAGAAAAATAAATAAAATGAAGTGCGCACGATGAGGACAAATCAACGAAGTAATATTCGCTAGGCAAGCGATGTGTGAACGTAGATCGTAGATCATTTCATTTATTTATTATTCATTACAGTCCATTAAAATCCACTGCCTCTCTCACGGTCCGTCTTATATGGGAGACACTTACCGTTAGTGTAAAGAATTTACATTACTTTGGAGTATTTCGTATAATTAATACGAAAACATTGATAATTATCATAGTTACAAAATTTTACTTATTAAAATTTTCCGGAAGCTTTTTTTTCACTTTTCCTTCATCTTTTCATACAGCAAATTTAAATCTACCAGTCGTTTCTATCTATCAGCTTTTGTTTACGTACACAGCTTTTGGTATTTTAATGTGAGGGTAGGCGCACATTTACCAATTTAACACAGTGTTGATATCAGTTAAGATAAAATTTTAGCGATGTCAACATTAAGCATACATTTTTAAACGATCTGGAGTGTTTTTGCTTTATTTGTGGTGAATATGTTTCTAAAAATTATAGAAAATCGGTGACATATTTCGAAAAAATCGCTTAATATTTTAAATAAAAGTGTGTAATTTGGACAAGCCGTGGGTGCCTAAAACTGTTTGCCAAAATTGTGTTGTTAGTTTGCAACAATGTTCAAGTGGAAAAAAAAGTTCCCTGAAGTTCACAACCCCCGATCTGGCGAGAACCGAAAAATCATCATGATAATTGCTATTTTTCCGTCGTTAATGTAAACGGCATTAATTCAAAATAACCGCAGTAAATGGATTTATCCTGATTTACCGTCTGCTAAACGACTAACTTTGGTACCTATTCTAGCTCAAGAGTCTATACCAACAGTATACAAACATCATTTACCTTCGACATATTGAGAAACTTGGTATAATTAAGGAGTTTGTCAAGGCACTTGATACAAATGGTGACTGTTTTGAGTATGTTGCACAGAAATTTCCTACCCTAATTACCAAAAAATTAAAAACTGGAATATTTGATGGACCACAAATACATCTCCTAGATAATGATGAAAATTGTGTTAAAACAATGAATGAAAAAGAGTCCAAGGCATGGAAATCATTTGTCAGTAATGAAAAACTTTCTTGTTAATAATAAAGCACCAAACTACCAAGACTTGGTCCAACATACGTTATTATGTCTGAAGGATCGTGGTTGCACCATGAAAGTAAAACTTCATTATTCACATTCCCATCTGGACCACTTTCCTGAAAATCTTGGCCACCTAAGTGATGAACAAGGAGAAAGATTTCATCAAGAAATTCGCACCACGCAGGAACGATATAAGAGCAGATGAGATGTGCATATGATGGCAGATTATTGCTGGAGGCTGAAACGAGACCTACCACAAGTATCACATGCAAGAAAATAATTAAAAAGTCGTTTTGGCGGCTTCCAAAAATGAAATATTTTTTATGGTATTCATATTTTATATTTTTCTAAAAAAATCACACATGCCATATCTCAAAAACTAAAGCTGATAGATGAAAACGATTTTTATTTTCAGAGTCGGGATGCCATATGTCTACATAAAAGCTAACTAACTATCTTTGTAATTATAATTGATGTTCGTTTCTTTTAGTATTTATCATAATTATAAGTGGAATGAAAACTACATTATTCGAAAGATATAAATATCATAAATGTGCAGAAAAAATATTACTTGTGTAGCAACATGGCAGGCAACAGGCCGATAAGGATGTTAATAAAATTGAAGTTGGTAAAAAGTAAACAAAATGAACATGTATTTTTCATACAAAACGCTTTTAAAATAAATTTTAAACTCAGACCATACGTGATATCCGTATTTATTATTTATTAAACGTGCAAATTTTCTAGTGATGTTTTCTTTCACCAACCAGCATGTGGTGAATCAGCACTTAAAATTTTAACAATAAGTTCATTGAAACTGGCGGAAATCGAGTCGTGTGTTGAGATCGGGGCGCTCGCGTACCTACAAATTTACCTTAGAATTTACGGCCATTGAATAGCTGCTAAGCTACCTATAATAATAATATGTCATTGTAATCCTATACCTTTAAACGAGCAATTCTTATATATGAATATATATATATATATATATATATATATATATATATATATATAATCGGAATCTCGGAAACGGCTCCAACGATTTTCATAAAATTTTGTGTGCAGGGAGTTTCGGGGGCAATAAATCGATCTAGCTAGGATTTATTTTTAGAAAATGTCTTTTTGTCCGTTTAATTTTTTTTTCAAGTTCCTTCCTTTTTTGAGAAAATCTATTTTTTCGAGCCCTTTTTTTTAGTATTTTTTAAAAACACGAAAATTTAAATTAAACTAATTGCACTCATGATTTTTTATTCAAATAACCAGTTCAGTTTTTTTCTATTATGTCGCTAAGATCAAAAAATATTATTCGTATTTCATCAGTATGTAATTTGTATCTAAATATAATTTCCAAAACACACGAATTAAAAAAACCGAGCGAAAAATACCGAGCAAAGCTCGGTCAACCGGGTACTAATATTAATAAGTACAAAAATATAGTGATAAACTGCTTATAATTATATGTTGAAAAACGAGATTGTAGAACCAGTGCGTGTTGCTAGTGATGACCTATGGATCTGCGACGTGGTCCTTCACTGCTGGCCGTATGAGTACGCTCGAGGTCGCTCAGCGAGCTATGGGGAGGGTTATGCTCGAGGTTTCTTAGCGTGATAAACTTAGAAATGAGGATATCCGCAATAGAACCAGAGTGACCGACATAGCCCAACGGATTAGTAAGCTTAAGTGGCAATGGGCCGGCCATATAGCTCGAAGAACCGATAACCGATGGGGAAGAAAGATTCTCGAGTGGCAGTCTCGTACTGACATCCGAAGTATGGTGCGACTCCTCACTAGATGGAGTGACGACCTGGTAAGATATGCAGGAAGTCGACGGGTTCTGGTGGCTCAGGACCGTTCTTTGTGGCATTCCTTGGGGGAGGCTTATATTCAATAGTATATTTTTTCTATAGAAGAGGTGGAAAACGAGCATACGGTTCAACTGATGTTAAGTGACTACCGCAGCCCATGACCAACCGCAACACCAGGGGAATTGCAGGTGCGTTGCCGACTCTTCAGAAAGGAGTAAAGTAAGAGAGAAAGGAGTAACTCTTTTCTTGAAGGTCCCCAGGTCGTATCGGTCCGGAAAAGTCGCCGGTGGTAAATTATTCCACAGAGAGGTTATGTCGGCTAAGATTAAAACTTTTACAACCAGCGCGTGTTATAATACTTTCCGCTATCCGTATTTCACGCCAACTTATAAAAATATT